TCTGTTTAAAGAAGGCGAAGGTCATTTAGGTAATAAACATAAACGAGTCAGTTCACTTTGTAGTTATACATCATGTAATTTAATATAAAGTCTGTTATAAAAATTATTTGTATTTGTTTAAACTCAGTATCAGGATTTTGACTTTATTTTCAAAAAAATTTGATTATCTGGATTATAAATTGATTTATTTTTAGTTACTAGTTTGTTGTATAAATAGGGGCCACGGTATGAAAATGAGAATTAGGAAAGTTTTTTTTTTTTTTTTTGAATGATGTAATAAAGTTTTCTGTTTCTCTTGTATTATATTTATTAATGTTATTTATAAACAAGTTATTTGTAAAGTGATATAGTACTTGACCTAATTTAAATTTTAGCATAAAAAAATAAATTTTGGTAAATGTTAGTTTAAAAAATATTAATCTTGTTCATTTTCTCATTTGTTGGGGTAAACAGCATGTTAATTTTAGTAAATTAGTGTGTTAATTTTCATCTGTAATAATTCACTGTTATCTTTTACACAGGTAACTTTCGAACCACTGCAGTATTTGGTTTTTTAGTCCATATTTTTCCGTTTTTTTAATTAGGAATTCATGATCTATTATGTCAAATGCTTTTGACAAGTCTACAGATATTCTAATACGAGTTTCTTTTCACAGATTGATTCACTAATTCTGTTAGTGAGGTCTACGATAACCTGGTCTGTTGAGTGCAGAGTTTGAAAACTATATTGGTTTTCATTCAGGATTTTGTTTGTGATTAGATATTTATATAAACAAATATTCGTTCGAGGAATTTTGAAAATACGGGAAAAATTGATATTGGACTGTAGTTATTAAAGAAAGAAGTTTCTCCAGATTTATAGATAAAAATAATTTAAGCTATTTCTAAATGATCGGTTACAACTCCAGTAATTATTAAAGAGTTGAATATTGGTAAAATTGGTTTAATTATTTCTGAAAAAACATTTGAAGTTCACTGAAATATAACTCTAGTTCTTTGACAACTAGAGTGCAAAGAGAGTCTTCAATATAACTTTCAAATAAATAATTTGTAGGTTGAATTTTAGAAGCTAATTTAGAACCTATACTTGCAAAATATTTGTTAAATTTTTATTTTAGATAATTTTTTTATCATTAAACTCTTTTTTATTTACAAGTTTTTGGAAGTAGTTAGTTCAAGTTTATTTTATTTTTACCGATTATTTCTTTCATAATATTCCAGGTTTTTCTTATTATCTCCTTTAAATTTTTGGACTTGCTTTGATTTAAGTAGTTTTTTAGATTTTAATTTTATTTTTTCAAATAGATTTTTATATTGTTTTCATTATACTTAGACAAATTATCTTCGCTTCTATTTTTTAGATATTTTATATAGAGTTTTTGTTTTTGTTTTGACAATTTTCTTATTCTTATGGTAATCTATGGAGTGGTCAGGTATTTTACTTTTATTTCTTTTTCGGCTTTTAAAAATATTTATTGTAGAAAGTTAGGAAAATTTCTATAAACTTATAGTAAGCGGAGTTTGTGCTTCCGAGGTTAGATTTTTTGTAGTATCATTAATTACCTCAACTATTTAAACTATTTAAAGGCCTCACTGTTTGTATCAGGAATGAAAATATCATTTCTAATTTTTGTCATTATGGATGAAGGTTATTATTTAACCTCCTCTTTTGTTAGCTACTCTTTCATAAGAAATAAGATTTTAGTTAGGGATTAGTTTGAATTTGTATTGGAAATTTTAGTCAGAACACCAAGTTTCTGTAAGACAAATATGCTGAAGGAATATTTGCATTCGATGAAGAAAATTTTTAACTTATCGATATTTGTATCTAAGCTCCTGACGTTTATGTGTATTATCGTGAACTCTCCTATATTGTTATGAAATTCAGCTTTAAAAGGTTTAGCACCAAAGAATGAACCCGACGGGCATTTTTTTTTAAAAGTTACGTTCTAAATGTGTTTTAAATGTCTTTTAAACGTCTTTTAAACATTAATGTTTAAAAGACGTTTAAAAGACATTTAAAATACATTTAGATCGTAACTTTTAAAAAAAAATGCCCGTCGGGAAGAGTCAAGTCCGTTAAAAAAAAAATTATCCTCCTATAAATCATTTGCAAAGATATTATTTTTAGTTTTAAAACGTTAAAATGCAACTTATCAAAATTTTTTGTTACGAAGTCAAGAAAAAGAAAACTAAATTCTTCCTCAGAATTCAATTCGTAAAATTGTTTTTGAAAGCGCGTATTTCTAAAATCTCGATTTAAAAATTTTATCATATTTTATTAAATAAAATATGATAAAATAAGGGGTTTCTTTTTGTTACGTAATTTTTTCACTTCCTAAAGCTTCCTTCGATGTTCAATAGTTTCATGGGAAAAATCTTCGTTTATGTAAATGCATGTTCCTCTGAGATGTTTACTAAGTTGGGTATTTTGTTTTTGACGTGGAAATTTAAGAATTTTAGAACTATTGTTCTTGGTTTAGTTTGTGTTGGCCGTTGCAACGACCTCTTTCTATTATTTGGGTTGGCCGTTGCAACGAGCTCTTTCTATTACAACTTTTTTAGTTGTTTCTTAAAGATTTCTTACATCATTTTTTCACAATCGTAGCAGGAGACTCTTTTAGTCCTTTTATTCTTAAGCTATTTCTTCTGGATTCCCAAATCTATTAATTTTTTATTAGTATGTTTATTTGATTGTGTTGATAAATTCCATAAATATAAAGAACAAGAAATTGTGTTATTACACAATACAAAAAAAACCAAATGAAAAAGGCAAATACTTTGAATTGAGAATGTAAGGTTAAAATAAAAAATTAAATATTTTTTATTTATGATTAAAAAATCATAAATTTATCTATTAAAGCTAATCTTAAGCAAAAAAAAACAATAATAAAAAAAAAAATCTAAGAAAACAAAAACAAAAAACAAATTTTTTGTATAGTGTACATATATTGTAAAAAAGTAACTAAAACCTTTCCATATATAATAATATTATTAAATATAATAAGAATTATTTTTCATATATGATTGAATAATCATAATTTCGTACCTCAGAAGTTTTGCCTTAAATAGGCGATTTCAGAGTTAGCGTAGCCATGTTGGAAAAATATTCTTGGGGGTGCAAGTTGAACTTTGGACTTTCCGTTTTTATGCGAAATATCATATAAAAGTATGAAAATTTTCTTAATTTAAGTTTAAAATAACTCATAGATTATTAGATATTTCTTGGTTTAAAATTATTCTGAAAAAAAGTTAAATTTGTTGCAAAAGCTTTTGCGCAAAAGCTCTTGCAACAAGTTTAACCTTTTTTCCGAATAATTTTAAACCAAGCAGCAAATTTGCTGCTATGGAATTTATTCTTGAAATTACATCTTGACAATTTAAAACCAAAAGAAAAAGTGATATTATACCTTTTTTATGGTTTTAAGTTTTATATTATAAAATAAGTTTATGCATTTTTTTTTTTTTAATTATACATATAGTATATATTGAACAGTAAAGTTACAATTTTATTATTTTAAATGGTACAGACTATACCATATGAAAACTTATATAATAATTTTAAACCCAGAATCAACTAATAATCTATGAGTTATTTTAAACTTAAATTAAAAAAATTTTCATACTTTTATATGATATTTCGCATGATGATCTACCCATATCGGATTATTGCTCTCCGACCATCCCAACCCGTTCCCGACCCTCGTCATAACTAACGTCATATATTGTTAAAAAAAAATTCATTATATATGACGTTATAAGGTTATAACAATATATGACGTTAGTTATGACGAGGGTCGGGAACGGGTTGGGATGGTCGGAGAGCAATAATCCGATATGGGTAGATCATCATTCGCATAAAAACGGAAAGTTCAAAGTTAAACTTGTACCCCCAAGAATATTTTTCCAAGATGGCTACGCTAACTCCGAAATCGTCTATTTATAAGTTCATTTGCAAGTATTTTGACGTATATCTTTAAGTTCATTTGCAAGTATTTTGACGTATATCTTTAGGTCATCTAATTAAGATTAAAAATACCGTTGCCGCAAAACAACTTTTGGGCTGTATATAGCTGTTATTTGACTATCTGTATATAGCTGTTATTTGACTATCTGGTTAACTATTTATTTTGAAAAATGGGTTTAAAATTTTAGGAAATAATTTTATTAGTTTATAAAATAAAAATTAGATAATAAATATTTGGTTAACATTCAGTACATTTAACTTAATAAATAATAGTTGAAAATGTGTAAAGCGGTTTACATTGAATTTAGTTCTGATTATGTGTTTTTGCATATTAAAAAGTTGTTTTTTTAAATTTTTTTTTATTGATTTGCTTCAGGGCTTTGGAGTCGGAGTCCTGGAGTCGCGACATTTTTAGCGGAGTTGGAGTCGGAGTAACTAAACAAAATCGCGACTCCGACTTCATTAGTAAAACTTCTCGGTATTGCACATGCATGTACAAAGTATTTAACCTTCAAAGAACTTTTCCATATATTTGGCAAAAAAAAAAAATTTTTTTAATTATTGCGTAATACTTTTTAAAAAATGTAAAGAATTTTTTACAAATTTTGTTTTGGAGTCGGAGTTGGAGTCGTACTCTGAAAATTTGAATAACTGGAGTTGGATTTGGTACTTTTTTTTTACGACTGCACACCTCTTGATATGCTTAACTTAAAAGCTCCCAGATCTTTTCACTATTGTATTATTACAGAAACCATGGTAGCTTTTTTTTTTTTCTTTCTGTGTTTGTGTAACAAAGACATTTTTAAGGCATAAAGCAAACTCCAAGCTTTTACAAGTTCATAATTTTGTTAAATGAGGATCTTTGCGAGTAAGGAGGATGGAAAATAAAAATTAAATAAAAAACTCCTCAGGTAAAACAAATTGCTAAAAATTATTATTATAAAATAAAGTATACAATACATAAATATGCATATACATTCATAAATATGCTTAAATAAATTAGTTTATAACTACTGACCTGATAATAAATTAATTCTCAGATGCTTTAAGAAAAAAAACATGTTCTAATTTTTTATATTTATGCACAAAAATATTTATACTTTTCAAGATAAACATTTATTTGCTTTTAAATGGTAATAAACAAAAATAAGAAAAAATAAATAAAGAAGAACTTATACAACATAAAGGTTTTTGTAAAAAACAACTTGAGGCAAAACTGAATCATTTGGAACCAATAATCCACCTTTTCCTGTTCTTCCCAGCAAAGGATTAAGTGGTTGTTTTATTAATAACCTTCCATCACATACAAATTCTACATAAGAATTAAAAATCTTGGCTTCAATTAAAATCCATTTTTGTGATTGGAACGCCCGAATGCATTGGTCTGAATTATCAGTGATAGAAATCTTCTGTATAACAGATCCAGAGCTGTAACACAACAGTTCACTTGAAATGCTGAAAAGATTATTTATAAGTAATAATTTAAATCTTTTTCAAATATATATATAAGTAAATTTTCTATTATTATTTCTATAGTTTTGTATAAATTATTTTATGTAATTCCGTAGAATTAATGAATATATAAAATGCTTAATTGCTTACTGGATATAAATAAATATAATGAATATATAAAGTGCTTAATTGCTTACTGGATATAAATAAACTGAAAATTATCAGTATCTTCAGCGCTAAAAAATAACCCCACTCTAGAAACAGCAGGGCTAAATACTTTTGCCATAATAGAATATTGATACTTGTTAGTTGCTATATTTTTGCCAAACATAAGACAGAATGGAGCATACGATATTGTCCTTCCAACGACTTCCAAAACACTGTAGTCTGTTTTTGCAGTAACTTTGCATACTAAATAAATATATATTTATGAAAGCCATGAATAAAAGAAAAATTAAAAGGTAATGTTCATTACATTTATGTAATATTTTTGCTCAACGTTTTGAAAATTACTTTTTCACCTTCTTTGCACGGCTTTTCATTGCAATCTCTTATTTCTTCGCTTTCTCCTTCACATTTTTCGAGATTACCATTACATGTTCGATAACGCTCTTGGGTGCCTCCTCCACATAGGCTAGAGCATTGCGTCCATGCTTCCCAATCGTTCCAATTACTAACCTTGGTTTCAAAGTCATTATGAATATTTTCTAAAACAATAAAAAGTTAAATGAAAACCTAAACCTTTTTTAAAAAAATAAACAAAAATTGAAGAAAAATATATCGAAAAAACAATTAGAAAAGAAAGCAGGTGACTAAATTAATAGACACTACTTTGTCTGAATCTTTGCTTGAAAAAATGAGTAAAATATTGTATACTAAAAGACTGGAAGCCGGAAAAAGAAATATAATCTTAACTTTTATAATTTAATTTTAATATATTGGCTTAACGAAAAATCATTTTAACAAATAATGTAATATTGAATACCTGCTTCGAATATATATGTAGTTTCTTGTTTTCCCATACAATAAACATCGTTAATTTTGCAAGTTTCAAATTTGCCATTAATGCAATCGTTAGAAACAACTAATTCGCTGTTTATCGCGCTCAATAAGCTTTTTGTACCCCAACATTCTCCATAAAATTGTAAGCCGTAAACTTTGTAGCCATTCTTTGCGACAATTTCTTCACATCGGCTCAATAAACTAGAAATAAAATTGCATAGTTTATTTTGCAAGTTTCATTTAACAATACCAAAAAAACTATAAAGTTATGTTACTGATAAAGAGTTATCAGGGTCGAAATACTGAGTTGGAGGCAGTGACAACGTTTCCAATTAACAACTAAAATTTTTTGATTTGAAGTATATTACCTTTTAATATAATCGTTGTATGCGTACCAGTTAATAGCACCAATCGTTTTTCGATCATTAATAAGTAGGTCTTTTAGAATTGAACCCCCTACTTGTTTTTTACAACCAATAATGTAACTAAAGCAGTATCCACATAATGAAACATCTATAAAATATGTTTAAATATCATCGTTATTAAGACGGCTTTAAACTATATTAAATATTTTGGTTTGCCTCTTACTTAATTAAGATTCTGTTTCACTTTCACTACTTACTTCAGATTACATCACTTACTTAAGATTACATCACTTACTTGAGATTCTGTTATCTTTTCACCAAACAATTTGTTGTCATTTTTTTGAAGGTGATCAAAACTTCAGCATTGTTGCTCAAAATATTCATAGAGAACTAGAATTTTAATTCAAAAATAGCAATCTGATTACCTTTAAACTCGCCCTCGCCTAACTTTATCATAAGTGATGAGCAGTCTACTTTCTAAAACAACTCTTTGACAGGTGTTACAGATAGCATTATTCTTTTTTTATCAAGCCTAACTAATCAAGTAGAAGATCTTATACCAAATAAAAGTATACAGAAAGACTTAGTAACGTATAAAATTCAATTCTGACTTATCTGATAATGAAAATTACCCAAAGAAAAGCAAGAAAAGAAATAAACGTATTGAATTATATTGGTTTGCTATAAAAAAAAAAGATCTTAGGGAAAATGCAAAAAAAAAGTATTATAAAAGATTAAAAAAAGAAGAAATGGAATTACGAAGTATTAAAGGATATCTGAGAAAAGAACTTTAAAATGTGAATTTTGATGTATAACGGTAGCCAAAAAATAAAGATGCGTTAAAAATATTGCGATATTCTAACCTGTTAAGAGACCAAAGGTAAGAATAAGTGATAAGGAATCATGAAATACACAATCTCTGTTTTAATACATAAAAAAAAGAAGGATAACCCACCAAAGTGAGCAGAACTATGATTCTGAAGACTCTTGGAAACGATAATGGACAGTTTTGAATTGGAAAAACTAAATAAGTGCCAGTTATAGAATTGCAGCAATGATATGATAGCATGCAGTAAAAGTCATAATATTGTCTTTACGATTTTTATGTAAACTGATGTAAAAGACTTGTTCAATGTTCAATGCAACGTCAATGTTCAAAGAACAAACTCGAGCAGAAAAATAAAAAGCTGAAGTAAGATTTACATGAAAACTATCATCGTCACTATGATAATTTACTCTATGACTAGTCTCTACCCGGATTGTTGAAATTGGTGTATAATCTCATAACGTGATTTTCATTTAAAAAAAACTAGGACTACTAACTTTCAAGGTGTTATAGTTACTTCCTGTTAAAGAGTAAAACATTTAGAGTTCAATATTTAAAAAAAAAAAAAAAAAAAAAAAAAGAGAACTTGTGTTTTGCTAACGAGCAACGCTTTTATAATTAAGGTTTTAGTTTTAGAAATAAATTTTTAAAAGTTATAGAGTTAAAATACTGGAACTGAAAAAAAATTGTTCCTAATTTTTATTAATAAAATGTTGTATTTAGATAGATAACATATAATTTAACAAAAAAGTGTTTAAGGAAATATTAAAAAAAAATTGTTAAGTCATTTGCTAAAATTTTTACTGCATTAAAAAAACCTGTTACCTCAAAAACGCGATAATAAATAAATACTGAACTTACTCTTCAATTTATTTATATTATAATAAATAAATAAAAAATACACCAAATGTATTAGAGTTGTTTTTTAAAATTTCTCTTTTTTTATAGAAAGACTTTTTTCTAGTAAAGTTTGTTCTAGTAAAGTTACCAATTATGCCATTAGCAAGTTTCACAAGGCCGACAGTATTAATTACAAATTCAATAATTTTCTATAAAGCTCTTAATAAGAAAAGTATAATTTGTAACAAATGTACAAGAACTTACAAATAAAATCAAAAAAAATAAAAAGAAATTTTGGATGTTTATTTTAGATAAATATGTTCAAGGTTCCGATGATAAACCCGTTATTCTTTCTGAAACCTAGTTTGTATTGTTAACACACAAACTATATATACTTTGTAAAAGTTTTTATTTACCCTATTTTATTATATGTATCACGACTAACATTGTAAAATAAACGACAAAAAATAAATAAATAAAAAATAAAAACAAATTTTTGTCTCTACGTATAGCCCTTAGAATTTTAGCATTAAAGTTTATGTTAGAACATTTGTGTTTATATAATTTCTAAATGTTTTTGAATATTTGAATTCTCTTTTGCTAAAAAAACATGTACAGAAAGGTGCAAATTTACTGAACTTTCGGTAAAAGTAACATATTTCGAACACAAGACAACTTAAAAAAATAAATTCTCAGTTTAATTGCGTGTTAAAATACAACGGTTTTAATGCTAATTGGAAAAAATATTATTTCATCAGGAGTTTGCGGTTATAATACCAAAAAATAAAATGTCATTTAAATATTGCTAAATCGTAAAATTTAAATACTAACTGCGCTGCAGGGGCAGATGTAGCATTTTTTGATGTTTGAGGTAGCTAACTTCCAGACATGGAGCAAACTCCAAACATTCGTATGTCTATACTCTTCAGGTTCCAATCATTGCAAATAACTGCAATGGTTGGAACCTGAAAATAAAAAAGTTCCAAAATTTGCGACCCTACTTTTCCCAAACATTAGAACAACAAGTTAATTATATATTTTTTTTATTATTCTTAACCAAATTGATATTTATTTTAAAATCTTAACCTTTATAGAATAATCTCTTCTGTTTAGTGTTCAAAAATTATGACCACAAAAAAGTTGAACCCCCTCAAATTGAGGGGGTTCAGACTTTACATGTTCATAAGTTTTGAACGCTAAAAGATTATTCTATAAACTTTTAGATGAAATCAATTAAGAATAGTAAAATAAAATATTTTATCAACTTGATGCTTTCACGTTTCGGGCAATGGCGTCGCAAATTTTTTGTTCCCAGGTTCCAATCAATAAAGATATAAAAACAAAGTACATACATTATTTAAGAACTTTTGGTTCATTACAAAAAAAAATTTTATAAAAAAAAGGTACTTCATTGATTTTCTTTACATCAAATAATTAAAAAAATTTGACAAAGTTTTTAAATTTGGTTTAATTTTTTTGGCATAATTAGTACATTTTGATGAAAAAACACGGCAAACCTTAAACCTAATAACTCGAGAAAACCTAGTTCATTTTGAATTAAATTTAAAAAATATTCTTTATACAAAGAGGTTGTCCATAAACTACGTCATGCTTAGGGGGAGGGGGAGGGTTAGTGGTTTTGTGACGACTGATACGGAAATTGTTACTAAAGAGCTACGATGTTGTGACGAGGGGGATGAGGGGGGTGGAGAATATGTCTAAAAACAGTCAAAAAAAAGGGTCTGAAAAATAGTTATGTGACGTAATTTGTGGACGACCTCATACTGTAGGGTAGAGCGGGGCTAGTTTAGCAATTCTTATTAAATCTAACAGATCATATGATTGGTGCATTGGATTAACATAACTTTTTATTTAAATAAATTTTTATTTACATAAACTTTTATTTACATAATTTCTTTAAAATTTAAAAGATAATTTAACCTGCTAAAAATTTGTTAAGAAAAAATATAGTTGTTGATTTTTTAGAGACGATTTTGCCTAAAGTTTAGGAAGTTGCTCAGCCTGTGAGGAAAGTTGAACAATAGTGTCTAGTAAGTTGGGCAATCAACAATTAAATGAAACGCATGAAAACTTGAGTGAATCATCAATAAAACTTTCACTAACAATAAGCGTGTGTATAATTTATAAACTTTTTATTTAATACACTTTAATAATGTAAGTAAGAGAAAAGAATAAATTAAATATTAAGAAAGTGTCATAAAATATAAAAATATTATTTTATGCAACTGTTTTGAACTTTAAAGCCCGATTTAAAAATTACTAATTTTAATAATATATCTGTATGCAAAAGGAAAATGGAAATAAGTCAAAAATGAGTTATACTCGGAATTCGACTAATAATATTATTAAGTATCATTTAAACTTTAAATATCCCCTCAAAAACGATTCATTATACAAGGCTTGAAATCGTACTTTTCAAAAAAGTTGCAACTGCGCCAGTTTTATAAGGGTTCAATTAATTTTATGTAAGGGTTCAATTAATTTTATGTAAAGGTTCAATTAATTTTATGTAAGGGTTCAATTAATTTTATGTAAGGGTTCATTAGTTTATGTATCTAACTAAAAGGTCTTAAAATATATAAAACAAAAGTAAAACTTTTTTAAAACGACTAAAATAAATTATTATAAAATAAATATCTATTAGATAAGATAATAATACTTTTTTACAAATTTTCTTTTATATTGACTTATTTTTTGTGATGTTATTATTACTATTAACTACGCTGTTATTTACTCTAAAAAATCTTATATAAAAAAACATAATAGTATATAAACATAATACAAAAATATATATATATATATATATATATATATATATATATATATATATATATATATATATATATATATATATATATATATATCGAAATTAATTCATAAAAAAAAGATCTTCATACTGGTTTGGAGAAAGTTTATATATGTGCACTCTGACAACCATAAGGCGGATCACAACACACAAAGAACTTTTAGAATAAAAGTTTTTCATTTTTATGCTTACTACTTTACAGATATTTTAAGAACAAAACAAAAAAAAAAAACAAAAAAAAAAAAAAAACGAAAGATAAAATTTTTCCTCTCAAAATATATCTTTTACAAATAAACATTTTTAAAATACTCACATAGGAGACAAGTAAATAAAAAGTTATTCATTTTTAACTGCTTAGTTATAAGCTGTATACTTTTACATTTAAAAGTTTTTTGAAGCATTTATATTATATTTTTTTCTGTTTGCGTAATGTTATTAATGTTAAACGTAACAAAAACAAAAAAATTTTCCCACACTTTTATTTACTTTATAATGAAATGGCAAAATTGAGTTATTGTGTCGATTCTAGAAGTTTAAAAGAAATACTATTATATAGTGTTAAAAATTTTTTTTTTACCGAAATACGGATGTATAGTATATACCGAAAACATACTACTGTTGACTTTTGAAGTTCACAAACACATACGCAAGCAAAACAATTAGAAAGTATTAGATAGAGGAAACCACTTTTTAATTTAGGCCGTGTTTCCACTGGAAAAAATGCAATAAAAGCAACTTTACAAAAAAACAAAAACTACAATTTAATAACTTTGATAAAAATATATTTATTATAAATAAGCGCTCAACAAAGAAGAGCTAATGTTAAATTACTTCTAATTCCTTCATATTCAGCAAGTTCTAAAAAGCAAGAAATAAAGTTATTCTCTACCAAATCAACTTTGCTTTAGGTTGTTTATGCTAATGATTGGAGCTTGAAGCTTTATTATTTACATCTGACAAAAAAATTTTTACCACAACCCCTACTAGAATTGATATTGCTTGCTCTTTCTAACCAATAGGAAGGACTTTGGTGCGTAAAACGCATCTTTTAATAATGGTGGGTAAATTTTTTATTATTTTTAATACCAAGATTATCATAAGAAAGGAGTATTTTATTTAAGGATACTAAAAGTTGTTTTGCTGATTGAAGTCTTTTCAAACAACTAATAGAAATCCTTATAGAAATCTTTGTTTTCTAGGTTTTCAATGAATTTCTAGGTTTTCAATGAATTTCTAGGTTCTCAATTCAATGAATTTCTAGATTTTCAATTATTTTCTGATCATTTGTAGTGAATGTTGGCAACTCATTATGATTAGCTAAATACATTTGAACTTCTTTTTTAAGAAGTTCAAATGTATTTTTGTTGTTGTTGCAGTAACTTGAATTCTGTACACGCCTTTGATAATTGATTAAAATGGTTTACTATTTGGCGTGCTTTAGCTAACAAACCCATCACTGATCGTTCTCATAAAACTGCATCACTGATCGTTCGCATAAAACTGCATGCTTAATCACAAGCTGTAATAAATGAATTATATATTGGACTGACGTTATTAAAGCTTTTATTGGTAGTATAAGTTTATTGCGTTGTGACATATTAGCAGCCACCATTTTTGAATAAAACCATTTTTATTCAAAAATGGTTTTATTCAACATTATTAAACAGCACCATTTTTGGTACTGTTTAATAATGTGTGAAGTTCTGTAAAATGCAAAGCATAGAGTACATCATCGTTGCGTGCAAAGTTTTTTTAGACCATATGTCTAATAAGTAAATAATGGATATATCCAAAAATTCATATATCCAAAGTGAAAATTATGTACTGCGATTTTACAGTTTCCTTAAAAACTTATTTTTCTTACAGTGTTATACAATTGAGGTTTGAGGTTGTTTCTCCAAAAAAAAAAATGTCTGCTTGGAATTAGATCCTAACTTGCAAATACACCATTAAACCAATAATTCAATCATCTTCGATAATACTAAATGGTTATCTAAAGACATCTTTTTCTTACTTTCACATATTTTCTTTACAATTAACTGAGCTACATTTTGAACTTTCATAGGCAGTTGAAAATGTTGAAGATTCCATATTAATTCTTCATATAATTTTAAATAAATTTCTCGTCGTATAGTTTTAAACAAATTTTTTTGGCGAGATTATGCAGCGATAAATGGCTTTTGAGCAGAATTATTAGAAACTTACTAACTTTCCACATGGAATGCAAATTGTTGTCGATTTGCAAAGGTCATATATTTTTTTAAATTTACTTATGATAAAAAGTTTCCAAATCATTAATTTAAAGCTTCTAAATAAAACTTGTCACGTTGAATGTTTATCGTGGTTATCGCTTGTGATATTTGGCGTAGTGAAAATATCATGACCAGATAATTTAAAAATGCAATCCGGGCATATATCTAAAAATGTACATATTTAACAAACACCTATTTTCTATAAAATTCTATTAACAAAATTCTTCAATTTGAAAAATTCTTCATTTTTCGACAATTTTACGTCAGGTTATTTTACACATGTTAAAATTACATGGCTATGCAAGAATAAAATCTTTAAATTTTATGCAAAATAATAAAAGTTTTAATGTCAATGATAAAAGAAAACATAAATTTTAAAGTTATAATTTCAAAAATAAAGATTCTACATAGTTCACTTTTGTAGTCAAAAATTAATCTAAAAGATTTACTTTTTTTTTATTGTTTTCAAAAAAAAGGTCACCACATCAAGTTGAACATAAAGTAACATCAGAGCTCGATCGATAATCTAAGCAGGTCTAGTAGCCAATCAGATTAGAGTCTCTTATGTCACCGGCATTATGCCAAGATCGATCTTGCTAATCTAATTCAAGCATCAATAATCATAAAAAGAATTATTGCAACTCTGGTGGAACACCAGAGTTGTAATAATTCTTTTTATGACTATGGTTTTCACCTTAGTCAGTTTTTTTATTATTGGATCGATGATATTTTTACTACTCAAATTTTGTTTACACGCATACGGAAAAACAGCGATGTTAGATAAACGAGTTATTATCGCATTGTTAAATCTGCAATAATCTATTTAATCGCGGAAATACAATTTAAAAACCGTTAAACTTTAATAAAAAGTTTTATTCAACAACAACTGCAACAAATAAACAGGAATTTTTCATTTTTAATAAACCAATATATTATGCACACATCAAAACATCTCATTAAAAACAATGGAAAAAAACTTTTATTAAAAATAACGCATTTTAAAATCGGTTTTAGAGGTAAAATAACTTAGTATCAGGTAAATAAGTAAAATAACTTAGTATCAGAATAGCCGAATTTAAGTAGGACAAACAACAACAAAAGGAATAAAAAAAGATCTAAAAAGAATAAAAAAGAAAATAGCATTAAAAAAAAAAAACATTTAAAATAATATATTAAACTTTTAAATTAAAAATATAATATATTTAAAGTTAAATTATTATAATAATAAAAATATTTATAAAAACGGTTTAAAACCGAATGATATTGAGTTCACAGGCCGGGTGAATAAAAAAAAGCAATTGCTTTAACTTAGCGTTTTTGGAGTATTTGCTCAGCTAAAAAATTTGAGCGATTTTGCTCAAATTTTTATTTACGTAAAGTTGAGCAATTACTCCAAAAACGCTGAGTAAAAGCAATTGCTCTTTTTTATTCACCCGGTCTAATATATCAACTCATATATCAATGTGCAATTTTTGATGAAAGTTTAAGTTAATAAAAGATTAAATCAAAAATTATTTTTTATTTAATTTAATTAAAAAATTAAATTAAAAATTGTTAAACTTATTGGGCTTAAACTCAAAAATAATTTCATTAATTTCCTTGCTTATGTAACACATAAGCTTGCTTATGTAACAAGTTAAAATAATAAATTCTCAAAATGTATAGAAAAAATATATAAACAGTTTGAAAAATATAACATTTGTAGAATGACTTTTCTAGAAAATATATCTTATCGGTTTTGGCAACTATCGTTGTAACAAACTTGACCATTTTCCAGAAAATCTTTTGAACACTCGCCATTTTGTTTAACAACTATGTTATTAGACTTGAGCAAAAAAAGTTCTTGCTCCATTTCGATTAATTTCTTTTTGTACATATTTTTTTCTTTTTTTGTTTCTAAAAATTTCGATTTCAATGAGCTAAGCTCAAGATTAACGTTGGACAGTTCTTTTTGCACTCTTGCAAGTTCGTTTCCAAGCTCCTTATGGACAACTTCTTGTTTCTCTAACTTTTCCCTATTTTGACGAATATCAATCATTTCATCTTTTAAAAGCTGATACTCAACTTCGTATAGATGAAGTTGCGAAGTGATGTTCATATTCAACACGCGGTTACATATGTCGTCAGTATTGGTTGGCACTTTCACAGGTAATGTTAGCTTGAGGTACTCAACAATGGTCTCAAAACTGTCGCACTCCAAAATTTCATTAATGTAATCACCAACCATAACTATGGCTACCTAAAATTAATTCATAAATACAAAATATTTGAAGCTTACAATTTTGCTTAATTTTAATATTACGTTTTTTTACATTTTTTACTACACTTTTTTATATTAATTGAGGCTGTTGAGGCTTCTTAGCCTAAATGAACTTACAAGTAAATGAGCTTATTAGTAAATGAACTTACTAAACTCAACTTACCTTTGAAAAAAACGAAACCCACATTTTAATTATGTGGGTAAGGGAAGGTGGAGCTCATAAACCTTAAATAGCATTCCGCTTTATGTTAGTATCATAATAAAAATACCCTGTTATTAGTTAATAAAAATACCCTGACCCTGCAAAACAGATTAACGCAGAAGGGCATTCAGTTGCAAAAAAAAAAAAAAAGATTTATTTCATGATTTAAAAAACTCTCTTCTAACAAGGCACTAATTAAATTGGTAGTTAACAAAAAGAAGTTAAAGAGTAAGAAAACAGAAGAATTAAAAAACTGTTATATGTATGAAAAAAAAATAAAATATTACATAGATTATCCTGGTCGTATTTTAAAAATCCGGAAATTGTTTCGGTTAAATATCCGGAATACATTTTCCCTTATATTCCCCTTGATTTTGATTTTTGCTGAGTTCTTTTTTTTTAATTTCATTAATTTTTGAGTTAATTTCTTGTATGAGCAATGAGTAAAAAAGCTTAAAAAAGAAATATATTACAAAAATATGTACCTAAACTTGTATGTATGGAAAACATTTAGGATATCCGGAAAAACTAAAAGTTGAGAAAAATATCCGGAATTCCGGAAATATCCGGAAAAATATAATCCCTGATATTATGAAAGAAAACATAAAGATGGGCTAAAATTCCTAAACACAGATGTTAGAAAAAAAGCTAGATGAATAAAAGTATTGATGAACGGCAAAAAATAAAAATATTGAACTCATCGTTGAAAGGTTGCATCTCTTTCTCTTTTCTACAATTACTATCAAGGCCGCTGCTCGAATGAGCTATTATTTCTAGTTTCATTAACCAAAACTCATTCTTGCTTGACTTGTTATTCAGCAAAGTCTCATTCTTTTACTGTATCTATCCATGCGTGCTTTTATTAATTGTTTTTTTCCCCGCAACTCAATCCTTTGGATTCCTCCAATGAAATAAGATGGGACTCCCTTCTATCTTATTTCATTACTCATAGAACTTTTAAAATCCTCTGTCAACCGTTTCCTTACAACTGTAGCATGCTTAGGTAGCATAAAGAAAAATGTGTCACAAATAAAAACATTGGCTATTTCTGAA